CTCCATTAAGCATGACTTCAACTATTTCAACATCTAATTTTCATATTTTACAATTCGACTAGCTTATCCCATGCCATGCAAGACGCTATGTCTTGTAGAGGATGGGTTTCGAAGACCATAAAAATTTCGAAACAAAGAAAATACACCTAAGGACCCATCATGATATGGATTTTGAAGTAAACCTGTGCAATGCTCAGAACGTAACCCATTTTGGTTACCAAAATTGGGAAGCACTTTGCAAAATGTATGGTTTTTATGAGGGTATGATTGTCACCATGGATCTTGGTGATCCTGACAGCGAGGAAGACAATATGGACATTTGGGTCCTTGTTGATACGCTTCCGATTGTACCGCTATGTGAGTGTCTCAAACATAGTTATTAACTAATTTATATTGTTTATTTCAAAATAGTTGATAGCTTATTTCCATTGACAGCTTATTTTGATTCTTCAAAGACTGTGCGGAAGATGGTAGATAAAACCCACTACACCGAAGGCACCCAATTAACGTATAAGGAGAAAAATCATCTGATCACATTTTGTACTCTTCTTGAGAATTACAATGACTATTATCGAACTCCTCCAAATTATGGTGAATACGTGCCACTAGTGCATGTGTTGAACAACGATAACTTCTCTGGAGATACCCTAGTAAGATCTTTTACTATTACGACATCCGTGCATTTTTTGCATACTTCTAAAACTAGTACATCATTGCTAACTACGAAGTTATTATTATGTTTTTCAACAGAAACTCCCGATGGATTGTGTGCCTTATCTGATGTCTCTGCATGGTCGCCTCTCAGTTCTGAACATACTGCCAGGTAAATCTATGGAGCTCACCTATGCATATCGGATTTCTAAAACCCGTGAACACATGATCATCAGAGAATGGAAGAAATGTATGGACATTCGCAAGGAGGTTCTTGGAAGTAACATTCAGCGAAAGGCAAGAATGGGAGACAGGCTAATCTCCATTCTCCATAATGGAGAGTCAGGGGCTATCTTATTTTTTGTTATTTTACCTTAGAAAATGTAGTAGGTCTTAATCGAATGTAATAGGTCCTATGAGGTACAATATGTTTATTATGTGGTAATGTGTTAGAGTTGATAATGATGATCTTGAGGAGGTGTTATGTGATGTCAATGATGAAAACGATGATATTGAGGAGGTGTTATATGACAATGATGTATTATGATGCTAAGTTGTTAATGATATGATGATGATGATGATATTATTATATCATTGGGTGAAAGAACCGCGGATTAGTTTCAAGTGGATGGACATCCACTTGAAACTAGTCCACGGTTCTTTCACCCAATGATGTAATAACTCATTATGATGTAAAAACAATTTCTAAATTCCTGTTGTATGAAAACTTGTGTAAAGGTGTATGAATACAACATGAAAAAGAAAAGAAATAAAATACTAAATAATAGTAGTAGCGCGGGTAAGGAGAAGCGCTACTACTAATTACCAGTAGCGATGTTCTAAAGAACCACTGCTACTAAGTCAATTTAGCAGTAGCGTGGGTCAAGACGCGCTATTGCTAAGCATTAGCTGTAGCGCCTTATCAGTAGCGCTCCTGCCCGCGCTACTGATAGGCCCAAAACCCGCGCTGCTGCTAGGCTTTTCCCTAGTAATGCAATATGATTCTATAACCTAATAAATGAAGCTTTGCATGACACCACGTATATGTTACTACCCACTATGGAGGTAATAACACAGCGTAGGCTAGCGTGTATGTTACCAGTGCAGGTTACTCTCCACTATGGCTAGTTTAATGGAGGAAAATGTCCTTTCACACGTTATCACACGCTGCCTTAGTCACGCTAGCCATGACATTTGTGGGCGACATGGTTGGCAAGGAGGAGAACAATACACGATGGATTTTTCCAGAGTCCGTTGTGAACGCATTTCTTTATCAGCAGTTTTATCTCTAAACCTGATAAAGTGGGGCTGAAGCAAACATCACATGTGTCAACTGGTCCGAGAAGGGAAGCTCTAGTCTGCCCAAAGTCCCCTCCCACTAGCTATGCAAAGATGCATGTCGATGCGAGTGTGGCATGGTCATGTAGTGGAGGTTATGCACGACGGTATGCCGCGATGAAAATGCCTCTATCTGGGAATCTCAACGATAGTCATAAATGGCATTCTGGACGTGTCCACACTAGAGGCTATCACATGCTATGAGGGTTTGTCGCTCGTGGATGATCTCATGTTGCATAGCTTCATCATCGCATAGAATTCTAAAAAGGTAGTAAACAACATTATCAAAGGCGATCAAAGGACGATATGGCTCAGTCATCAACAAGATCAAGTTGCGAGCTACGATGTTTAACTATAAATTCAATTTTGAAGAGCATGTAACTAATGCGGAAGCTCATAGTTTAGCAAAGTTTTCTCATACGCCATGTCTGGCTAGTCCAGCCCCATGCCCCCTTATATATATCACTCTCCATGGATTTTGATTTTTATATCCCTTAAAAAACATAGCAAATCCTATTGGACGCACATTGCTTCAAACAATCGAGCCAATGCACAGCGAGTGATTTGGGCTGGTCAATTTAGCGTTATGTAGAGGAGATTACCAGTTCTGATTTTGGGAACCTTCTAGAAGGCAGGTGGTCATTTTCTATTGTTGGTTTATTTTGGTTTGTCTTTTCTTTAAAAAAAATTTCTTCAGAATATTTACAGATATTTAAAAACATAATTTTGTTTTTTAACAAATGGTTGAAAAGTTCTCATTTTCCACAAATGACTATGTTTTCAAAAATTCTTTACAAAATTCATAAAAATTAAAATCAAATATTGGAAAAAATGTTAACAATATTCGTTATAAAATTTCAAAAATTGCTCACGTTATAAAAAATTAGAGTTTGCAAAAACTGTGTTATTTTCTTAAAAAAAATATAAAAAAATATAAGATTTTTTAAACTAAGTGTTCAAAAATGTTCATGTTTCAAAAAATAATTTAGATTTTCAAGATATATTTTCAATACTAACCGAAAAATCGGGTACAGTTTTTTTGAATTATTTGAATTGCTTATCACATGTGTTACGTGGTCTGGGTACAGTGTTTTATGTTCTCTACAGTGCTTCAATATCTCAACAGTTGTACGAAAGAAAAACACAAACCCACGCTGGTGGCTTAATGGGCCGGGCTGGTTTGCGCGTGTCTGTTCGAATGGTGGGCATTTTGACGCAAGGAGCGTCACATAGCAAATCCTACAGGATGTCGATTGCGTCAAATAATCAACCCAACGGACCAGTGATTTGAGCCGACCCATTTAGCGTTACTTAGAGGTTCCTGATTGGGTTTTTCTATTTTTTCTTTGCAGGTTTATTTCGAGTTTTTCTTTTCTTTCTTTAAAGAAATTCAAAAAATATAGGAAATTACTTTGAATATTAGAGATTTTTTTAAAAATGTATGTGGTTTCAAAATTTGTTCATAAATTTCAAAAGATGATCAAAGGTTAAAAAATGATCATGTTTTCAAAAAACTGTTTTAATTTTTAGAAATATTTTTCAAGTTTTGAAAAATGTTTGTAAAAATGGGCTCATTTTAATAAATGTTTTCGCAATTTTCAGATTTTTTTAAAATTGTTAAATTTTTGAAAATGGGACCATTTTCAAAATTTGTTTGCATTTTCCAAAAGTGTTCATGTTTTTTAAAATGTTTGAAAAAATGGTCTCATTTTCAAAAACTGTTCACAAGTTTCAGAAAAATGTTCAGATTTTTGAAAAAAGGGATCATTTGAAAATTTTGACCCCATTTCCCTAAAATGTTCATGGTTTTTAAAATGTTGATAATTTTGAATACTTTTCATGTTTTATATAAATGATCAAAAGTTTTTTCACGTTTTCAAAGCAATGTTCACTTTTTCCAAAAAAGTGTGCTAACTTGAAAAATGTTATAATGTACAAAAAATGTTGATATTTGAAAAAATGTTTTCAATTTTCCTGACAGTGTTCTTGTTTTTAAAAATAATTTAATTTTTTTATGAATTCATCGTGAAAAAGGGGTAGAATGTTTCCCGTTTCTCTAGAGTGCCTTTTAGTTCAGGACAATGGCTTCTGGTTCTCTACATTGATTCAAGGTTGCTACAATGTACGAAAGGAAAATGCGGACCGATGTTGGCGGCTTAGGATGCGTTTGGTTGAATGGATTGTTCATGATGGGTTGATATCATACCAAACAAATAGTTGTTTGGTTAAAGCACTTGAATGGTTCCAACCAAAAGAGGGAATATGCCCTGAAAATATCTGGGAGCTCCTATACAACGCTGCAGGCGCCCGTTAACGATCCAGCGCCTGAAGTGCTGCTAGCATGGGCCAGCCCACTAGCGTGCTGCCCTAAGTTTTTTTTAGTTTTTTTTTACAAAAATAAAAAAATGAAATGAAGAAAGCTTTACAGATTTAAAGAAAAAAAAATTCATCCATTTGAAAAAATATGTTCATATCTTTAAAAAAGGTTCATAAATTTTGAAAAAGTTCATCAATTTGAAAAAAGGTTCATTAAAAATTGAAAAAAAGTTCATTAAAAATTGGAAAATAGTTCATTCAATTTAGCAAAAGTTCATTAAATTTGAAAAAAGTTCATAGAAATTGAAAAAAAGTTCATATATTTTTAGAAAAAGTTCATGGAACTGGAAAAAAAGTTCATCCATTTTCAAGACAAATGTTCATTAAATTTCGAAAAAGTTAATCAATATTAAAAAAAGTTCATCAATCTCAAAAAAGTTCACAGATTTTTTTTTAAAAAAATCGTCAACCGGCGCCTAGATAGGCCGGCCCATTTACGGACGCCACATGCGCCAGTTAAGAAAATGCACGTTAACTGGCGCCTGTGGCGCCAAATAGGAAATGCCCTCTTCTTCCCCACGCTCGCGTGTGCCGTGCCGTGCCCGACCGAGCGACCACCGACCGGCCAGCGAGGCACCCCCGCTCCACGCACACACACAGAGACCCAGACCCACACACACCAAGGCGTGCACGCAATGAGGCCCTTCCTGTTCACGCCGGTGGGCGCCCAGCTCGCGTCGCTCCCCTCGCCGTCAACGCTCTCGCGACTGCTCCGCCCACTCCACCTACAAAACCGCCATGCTCACGCCATCCCCATCCCCACCCCCACCTCCTCCTCGTCGCTCCTCCTCCACCCTCCCCGCCGCAGCAGTGGCCGCCGCGGCGATCGCTTCCTCGCCTCCTCCTCGCCCTCTCAGGTCTGCCTGGCCTCTCCGTCCCGCCGAATTCCACCTGTTTGAGAATAGTCCCGGACCCCAAGTGTTCGATGGAATGCCTCCCCTGCGGTGATTGTGGATTTGGCTGATGGCGCCCGGCCGTTTTGTTTGTATTGCAGATGGCCGCGCCTGCCGATGCCCCCGGAGGATCCGCAGACGCGTTCGAGGTGATCCGCGCTCACCAGGTGCGGCTCTTAGCCTTGGCTCTACCTAGTGATTATGTAGTTACTATGTGGTAACCTGAGGACGCGATAGCTGCACAACTTCTAACACGAAAAATTGGGTGCTCTGCTCAGTACCATGGGGAATATAAGACATCTTTTTTTCAGAACCATGTATTGAGTATATGCTACGGAGTCTGATAGATTATCAGGAGGATTAAACAGTAGTCTGGAATAGGCTTAAAATTATGGACCCCCTTAGCTGGCGAACAGTAGTCTGGAATAGGCTTAAATTTATGGACCCCCTTAGCTGGCGAAAGTTCGCCAGGAGGGGGTGGCATTTGAGAACATTTTCGCTGGCATTTTTAGTTGTGAGGGGTAGCAGTTTTTTCAGAGCGACATGGCAGTTTCTGTCAGAGATGGCAATTTTTCGTTTAAAACTGCCACCGTTTGATCTCGTCTCAGAACTAAAACTGCCATCAAAAGGGGTTCGTTTGCCACCCCTCTCCCAGCGAACAGTCGCCAGATGATTTCCAAAAATTATTAATGTGTAACTAACTGAATTTTCGAAATTTAGTATGGCGAGGGAGGAATGTCGTCGACGATTAACAAAATGATAGGGAAGGTACTCGGTGCTTTTCTTTTCAGAACCATGTGCTTGATATGTGTTTATGGGGACGGATTTATTACCAGGAGGGTTACTGTGAAATAGGTTTAAAATTGTTCCCTGGTAGTGATTTTCTTCAACAATTAGTGTGACGAGGAAAAAACATATCATCATCAACAATTAACAACGATATGCAGAGCTTTCCTCCACAATAGTCAACATATTCCAATATCGTGGGAGTTTTTTTATCTAACCACCATCAACCGGATCAACTTTGCAAAATATGCCATTTTCGGTTCCTATTAGATATTTGAATGATCAGCCTGTGGAACAAGTACGTGCAACATTTATGACAGCTCTGAACAAATACCTTAACTAACAAGTTACAAAGTTGTCTTGGATTTTAATTAAGAGGAACTCTAAAGATTGTAGGTTTTAATCTTTTGCCATCTCAAGGTCTTTCTTATTCACTCAACATCATCATGATTATAGGTAAAAGCTGCCCGGCTTCCTCCTGTTGAAGAAATACGAACCATTCTGGACCAAAGTGTCAGAGGTGTTCTGGCTACCCATTCTCAGGTATGCTAGAAGCATTCTTGTATTTGCAGTCTAGTGAGCATGCATTTGCCAGTCTTTTCCTGTGTCGTCTTTTTTAGAATTCTATTGAAACTGGTGAGTACTGATTGCCATGTGGATATGTAAAGGGCGGACCTGATATTTTTTTTCCATTAACAGCTTCTCTTGATTATTCAAACTTAACTTTGTTGCTTAAACCTGCTTGATAACTCCACTTTTCACTTCTCGCTGAAATGTGGCATGTGCTTGGCAAGGTACCTGTCAGATATTTAGTACATCGTGATATGTAGCTTTTTACCATGCCATACTGGCTGAGATTGTCACCTTCCAGTATGTGCCTTTTCTGCTTTGTGAATGGCAAAGGCAAATTATATTTTTCTTCTATCTCCTTCTATTGCCAATTGGTTGATTACAGCAAAAGAAAATTATAACATGTCATTCTGTTAACAGGAACATGTGGGTTATCCATCTGGTTCAATGGTTGATTTTGCGTGCGATCAAGATGGTTCCCCCATATTAGCAGTGAGTAGTTTAGCAGTTCACTCAAAGGTATGCCAGTATTGTGCTCTCATGATTATGTATACATGTAATACTACCTGTCGACACCGTTCTACGCGCATGGAGACCCTATGCATTTAGTGACTTAACTCAAACACACATGATAACACTGACAATAGCAGGAGTACTGTCAGATAAACACGGACATAAAAAACAGAATGGATAGACATGAAAAATATAAAATGCATGGACAGTGTTCTATGAAAAGAATAGGGTGCTGGTTTAATCTACTAAATTCACAATAGCTTCTGATAGTTATGTCTTTTGTTGCCACCATTTTGCAGAATCTCGCAGGAAGTAGTAAATGCTCACTTTTGGTTGCCAAAGACCCAGAGGACAGAACAGATACTGTAATCACTGTATACGGCGATGCTACACCTGTAATTCCCTCCTTTCACTTGCCCCATATATTAGTGTGCTTATGTCGGACGCGGATTTGGTGAACATGGGTGCGCGCGCACCCTTTATGAATAGTAAATTCAAAAAAATACTAGAAAAAACCAAAAAAAACTGAATTTATTGTTTTAATATACATAGTCAACCGGTATACTCACATATGAAGTTTCACGAAGAAATCACATCCGTGGTAATCTGGGCAAAAATGACAAAATCGAAGCTATATTAAAAAACACTGTTTAATGAATAGTATGACCACATTTGTATTTTCTTCACTAAGAATACCATGGGTATCAATACATTATGAAACTTCACACGTGAGTAGAATGATCGACTAAGGTTCATACCGCGAAATTTCAGAAATTTTTAAATTTTTCTAGTATTTTTTATGAATTTACTATTCACATGGGTGCGCGCGCACCCATGTTCACCTTTGTATTTCGGCTTATGTCCTGATAAATTTCTTAACTTGATATTTATTAAAGCATACAGTATATGTTACCTGATAATTCTTTGTTGGCTCACTTCGTATTGGTTCTGTTCCAAAGGTTCCTGATGAAGAAAAAGATGCAGTGAGAACTGCATATTTACGGAGACACCCTGAGGCCTTTTGGGTATGTTTGTTGAACATTATACTGTTTCTAAAGTAACTGTATAATATCGTACTAATTTCTGATGGAAATTTGCGAAATCAAGGTTGACTTCGGTGACTTCCGTTTTCTGCACATCAAACCAAAAGCTGTACGTTACGTATCTGGGGTTGCAACAGCTATCCTTGGCTCTGGAGGTTTGTGACCCGTCTTTTAAATGCCCTAGTTAAAACTACTTATAGTTAGAAACCTGCATAGCCTTTTTGACCAGAAGTTCAAGGTTCTACTCGACTTTTAATTTGTTTTTTAGTTGCTATGTAATGTTCCTGTAGCGCTCTTGCGAGAATCGTGAGTTGCAATATGAGAACCATGAAAAGGAATATCCTGAATAAGAAAACAGAAACCGAGGAAACTGTATAAAGATAAAACTAGTAGCCTCTCGTCTTATGTCATTCTCTCCTTTTTCACTCAATGTTTCATCCGAATTTAACAATGAAATTTTCTATAACAGAGGTTGAGTGTTCCTATAGTTAGTTTCTTTAGTGAAAACCAGGCTCAATCATAAGACTTGCACATTCGGTGCCCTGCACTTGTGCTTATAGTTAGGTTTTGTGACCTAAAGGTCAAATTCTGTACGAAATGCAATATGATTTGGTTTGATGGTCCTTGAGATACTGTTCTGTTCTCCACATCCTCAGAGTTTAGTGCAGCTGAGTTCAAGGAAGCAAAAGTGGATCCTATATCTCAGTTCTCCGCTCCTATTGCAGTATGTTTTATATTTTATTGACTCCACACTAAATCTATTGATCTTCAATTGGCATATTTATGCTCAAGTTAGCTGCATGTATTCCACAGGGCCACATGAACAAGGATCATGCTGATGATACAAAGCTCATCGTGCAACACTCAACCTCTGTTAAGGCAAGTACAATATAAAGCTTAAGTGGTGTCTGGTCATGAATGCGACTCTGCAAGATATACTAGAAAACAAGTCGTAGCTGTATTAGTTTGCGAGACAGTTATATTATTTATCTTCTGTTCATTTCATACTTAAGTTTCTTTCTGTAACCAAATAACTAGTATTTTAGTTATTGTATGGCGGTGTTGTGCTCGGTCACCGTGATATATTTTGTGTGTAGAGACGAATGTTTTAGTTTAAGGATATGGTTCCTACTTTTTGTCCCAAACATTAGATAAAAAAAGGTGCAAAACACACAAAGCTTGGTTCTGAGTTCTTTTTCTTTACAGTAAACACATCTATGCCTTGTATCACTCTTTCATTTTCTTAATTTTGACACTTCTATACTTCACCAAATGTTAATGTTTCCATTTAAATATATTGAGGGATGACAAATGTAAGCTATTTCAGGTGGATTTCGCTTCTATTCTGGATGTGGATAGCCTCGGTATCAATGTGAAGGTAACAGCCCTCTCAAAGCTTGGCTCGATTTTCTTGTA